ATTGCTTATAAACTCAGCAAAAAAATCATTCAAGTGGGAAAAACATGTATTATGTTGATTTATACAATAGTTAAGTAGGCAACATTCAATAATATATAATATATTAAACAAACTTCGTCCTTATTCAGACTACAAAAAAAGTAATGCTGTAAATGTTACACAGTATTTAATCAGCTTTATGGAAGACAAATATAAACTATAACTTTGAACAACACTTGATGGGCCTTTAACGATTTTGTTTTAATGTATATACTTTCATGTTTTTGCAAAAGGTTGTTACAACTAAATTTCAACAAAATATTTTAGTCACTACCAGCAAAGCCCTTTTATTTTCTGGAATAAATTTAAGTAAATTTAAAACATTAAAAAAAATGTTTCTTGTTAAATATAATGCAATTTCTCATACCTACAAATCAATTAAATCATGTTTGAAAAATTAAAAAGTTGTTTTAATCAGTAAAAACGTCTGTCAAGTTAAACGAAAACAGAATGGTAATGTAAGTTATCCTCAGACAGTATCAGATTTACTTAAAATGAGTGAAAATAGATGAATCTATTTTAAAGGAATAAAATAAAATAAAATCAATTTTAAAGGAACTTTACTGAGGACCAAAAGACTTAAAAATAAAAAAATTGAAATTCTTACTTAGACCAACTTAGGCAAAGAAGTTATGCAAGAGATAATTAAGAAATATACTCAGAAATAAATTGAAAATCATATTTTTGTGCTATCCTTAGCCCAAATGGAGTGTTGTTTTTCACAATTACAATAATTACTCTGGAAAAACAGAGTGTGAGATTGATCAGGAAGTTTGCATACATGTTATTTGTCTAGACCTACATGAAATAAAACACTAACCTCAAAATATTTTTTTAGTTCCATCATGTCAAAAAACCTTAATGGGGTCTCCTTTAAGATAATAAATGATCAGCACATGTGAGCCGCATCATGACAAAACCAACATAGTGCGCGGATGCGCAGGCTGGTCTGGATCCAAGCTGTTCGCAAACGCACGGCTCAAATAAACAAACAAACAAAAAGATGATTACTCCCTGAATTTTAAACTAAATGGGTAATGTTAACATTTGAATAAATACATATTTTTGATTGATATTTGGAATATCTGCTACAAATTTTAAGCAATTTATGGAATTTTATTTAACCTATTGAACTGCCTATAAATACAACTTTTCCATTAGAGTATGTCTTTAGATTTTTATGTTCAAAAGGCAATACTTTAGTTATAATATACAAAATGACCTGCACTGTACAGGATTCGAACCTGGGTTGCTAGATTCACGCTCTACCAATTGAGCGAACCCGATTGCTCATAGATGTTTTCTCAGACCTAGCAATCACTATAAAGTTAGTGCATAAATTCAGTTTTAAGAGAACAGTTTGGTGAAACATAAAACTTTGATAACCTAATCATGTAAGATTTGCCACATTTTGTCAGGTAGAAGTGACCGACCAAACATGTGGAATAATTTATTTGAGGTTATAAAAACCTATTTTCTGATCGCCCCTTAAATCTCACATTTTTTCATTGGTCAGCAAATATTTTCTGTCTCTTTCTGACTATAATTTAACCCGAGTTCTGGGTTTGCGCTTAGAAAATTTCTTTATAACCTCGAACCTTAATCTGGCTGTAAATGGTTGCATCACATATCACTGTCTGTAACAACAGGTTCAAAATTAACATCAAAATTGTAAAAGGTAAGACATAAAACATGTATGAGTAATTTCATATTAAAACCTAAAAAGGATCAACAACAACAAATATTTAGATAACTATACAAAATATGCTAAAAACAAATCTCAAATTAAAAGCATATTGTAAATTCCATGTACATTATAATAATAAAATAAATCCGAACACACAAGAAAAACTTGGTAATAGTTTGTATAAACAAAAGATCTATATTTTATTATGATACATTTTGTATATACATGATTGTGTACCTATTAAATAGATATTTCTTGAGTGTATAAATTTAACACTGTTTTGCACATCATTTAGATGTTGAAAATACTAGTTCATTTGTGCTTACTAAAAAAAGAAATATACATATATATATTTTTGTTTTGTTTTTATTGAATTTCAAGTAACATCATATGACACTTTACCAAATTTACTGTTGCAGGTATTCTAGTACATTGTACATTATTTTAGACACAAAAGGACACCTGAGTAGAACCACTGACCTAGCTAGCTGGATAGCTTCCTCATATGAAAAATTTCAAGGTACCAGGTTTGAGCCTAAAGAAGGGAGTTTCATATGTATAATCAGGCCATATTCAGGTCCTATGTTTACCAAAGATAAAGTTTCAGGATGAAATCTGAGAGGAAACCAATTTGAAAACGAGAGTCAGGACTGCAGCAACAGCATCAGCTTAGTGGGCCTTTAATTAAAGTTTTGTTACTAAATTTTCATGAATTTTTTTCTTATTAATAAAGCTATATGATTTAACTTGAGTAAAATTTTTTTTTTTTTTTGCAGTTTGAACTTATTCCTAAATTTTATCCCAAACAAAGGTTTGTTGATGAATACATTTTTTTTTTGTATATGCAAATTACATAAAGTTTATTTGGTACAACAATATGTCAACATTACAAAACAATGGAGAAGAAACGAAGATAAGGTCGACTTTTTAACCCTGAATTTTACAATGGATAAGGACTGATATTATAAATATATGCTTTTTATTGCAGGACTGTAACAGCTTAATTGAGAAATTAAGAAAAAATTAAGAAAAAAATATTATCCGACTTTTTGTTGAATAAAAGAAAAAAATTTACAATGAAAATTTGATATCTATTTAATGGTAAGCATGATACATGTATATGCAATCTCATTTCTTTTTGTCCCTCGCAAAGTATGAAATTCCTATTGTATGTATAAAATATGTTAACAGTCAATGGAATATATAGAAGGAGACTCCAGGCTGTCACTGCAGCTTAAAATACCCGGTCAAATACAGTAAAATAGCTGTCATCTACATTATTATTCATTAACAACATATACATACATACTTTGATTTTTTTCCTACAATACATTTTGACAAAAAGATACTTAATTGTTTACATCTATAATTGACTAACATTCATTATCCTTTCTGGGCTTTCTCAGTCATTTAACAAATTGCGTTAACCTTGGATATGCACACAATTGTCACCAAAATACCAATCCTAGAAATCTCCGTCCAACAGCCAGAAATTTCACAAAACACAAAAAATGCCCAACAAGCCCAAGACTAAAGTCTGTCTGGCTCCCAATATGCTAGTAAAAAAACTCTATGATGCTCTCATTAATTCAACTGGAACCTGTCCACCTCTCTTGGCATGCTCACCCATGATCCGAAATTTTGTTCATGAAGTCGTTTATGTAAAGCCATTTTAGCCTGGTTATAATGGTCACAATCAGATTGTAGTTTCACCTGCCGGTACGAGAAGTTGATATCTATTGTATTGTCTATAGTGTCTCTATATAAACTCAGTATAGACTTTTTACATAATCTTGACGCACCTACACTCCTAGCTACACTGAAATACAAAAATATTAGTTCATAGGTTGTTATTTGTTCTTTGCTACATTTCATAAAAAGTCCTAAGTGTATCCAATTCCCAAGTCCTAGGAATAAGACCGATTTTCAGACCAACTTTAGACAGTTTCAATTGAAGCAGATTTGTCTTAAGTTTAAGGCTGAAGACATTAATTTTATTTATTTTCCAGACAAAAAGAAAGAAAGAAATATCACAACCTGTGCTTTTTCCTTCAATATGTCAATGTTTATTTGTCTTGCTAACCAGAAGATGAAGGAGTCATAACATGGGAGTCATTATTAAAGTTTGGACATTTTCTTGAAAAGCGAAATTGTCCCAGATTTTTGTCTTTAGACTGATATTAGACTTAGGACTTTCTATGAAACGGACCCCTTCAGTCGCTATTTTGTTCTTACTTCTATATGTGAAATAGAAAATTATTTCAAAAAGTTTGTTGATGCAACTTTGCTTATGAATTTTTTTCCACTTGAATGAAGATACATACAAATCAAAGCACTTTCTTTCAATGAATATTACTGGTTCTAACCACCAAAGACAAAAATTATCACATCATGTGATGAGAGCTTTAAAAGATCGTGAATGTTGTAATTAAGGGTGTAAACACACAGCGAAATTTTATATATGTATATAATAATGCTTCTAAAATAATTTTCAAACAGCGAAGAATATGTAAAATATGTACTGCAAATATTTGTGCACATTATATGTAATCATTATAATATATGCTTTCATTTCTTCCTGAAAAATTTAACATAGACTTCATAGAAAATAAATTTCTAATTATCTCCCTTTATTAACATGAAATGTAAATTCAGTAATATCTTTACAAATGGAACTTACAATATAAATAAATCTTCATTTGAGCATTATATTTATGATATAAAACCATAAAAAATGACTTACAGGATCTTTAAGCTACATTACACCAATCAAAGTGTAAATGGTCATCATACAGTTAAAATACAGAACAAAGGTTAAAAATATACATGTAGTATGAAAAATTCAACATACAAAACATTTCATGTAACCTTAAAGAATAAAAAAATATACACTACATAAGAAAGTTATGTTATACGTTTTTGTAGTTTTTCCTATAGTGCCATCCGTAATCTCGGGTTCTTTGTCACCAAATGACCAGTTGATACTGAGTGGTCGTGCCTTTTCTACAACACGTGTTGTATCCTAAAAATAGAAAAAAACTTTCATCAACGAAAGTGGGGCATATTAAAAATAAATGTATTAAATAATTTGGGTTTGAGTTGTACTCGGGTTGTACATGATGTATAAGTCAAGTTGTAATTTCAAGAAATCAAATCAGTATGGAAGAAGGTTAAGTACAAGATAGAAATTTCATTCATTTAATTGTTAAATAAATGGTGTATTTGTTTGTTTGGTTGTTTTTAATTCCAAACTTCAATTAATTTTTTATTGTATATCTGCGGTAAGTCCAACTACCGGTAACTACATGTATCTCTTCTGGATAACTATCCGGTTATTAAAAATGTTTCCACTAGTGACCAACCTTTTATCCAATATGGTATCTAAGTCAATCAGGTGGGAGAAAAATAATCATTACACTTAATGTCCTTGATCGATTATCACAAGGAAATTTTCCTTTGCCCGACCAGGCATTATAATGTTGGCTAACCGACTTGAAATTTTTATCTTATTTTATCCCCCAACATTATAATTGACAGTTCCAAAAATGGGAAGCTGGACAAGTCCATTTAAGAGAAACAGACGATTTAGTGGTTAAATGTATGACTAACCTGGTGTGAGGTGACACCTAGATCAGGATGGTTGACATGGTAACCACACGGTAATTGAGACTGTAGTGGTGTTGTGCTATGATCTATACGACAACAGACGGCACGCGCCAAATGACCAGCATTATATAGATTTCCTGTAACAAAAAAAAACATTAAAGATATACTTTGCTCAAATTTGATGTTATAAACTTTTAAGCTGCACAGTCTCTTTGTAAATATTAAAATAAACATGTTTTCACTTCACAAAAAGTAGATATGTTATGTTTAAAATCCTAAACACTATAGATGGTCACAATATGAATACAAAGTGTCATTAAACAAGAGGGCCATGATGGCCCTGAGGTCGCTCACCTGTATATAGGCCCCCAGCCCCCCCCCCCCCCCCCCGGGCCAATTTTAACCCAAGGGCTTTTATTTGAACAAACTTGGTTCCATAAGAAGATGTTTCAAGCTAAACATCTAAGTTCTAGCTCATTGGGTTTTTTAAAAGAAGATTTTTTAAGTTTTTACTGTACACATATAGTTAATATCTTAACTTTAGCTATTTGGGTTTTTTTAAAGAAGATTTTTTAAGTTTTTGCTATACACATATAAGGAAAATCAATGACCCCCTGGGGCAGGGCCAATTTTGACCCCAGGGCTTTAATTTGAACAAACTTGGTAGACACCCCTTAGAACATGTTTCGTGCTAAATATCTTAGCTCTAGCTCTTTGAGTTCTTTAAAAGAAGATTTTTTAAGTTTTCACTATATGCATATAGGGAAAATCAATGACCCCCTGGGAGCGTGGCCAATTTTGACCCCAGGGCTTTTATTTGAATAACTTGGTAGACACTCATTAGAAGATGTTTCATGCCAAATATCTAAGCTCTAGCTCTTTGGGTTTTTTAAAAGAAGATATTTAAAGTTTTTTCTTTCGGAGAGTTCTGCATGGAATTAAATTCTTTGAACAAGTTTTAAAGGTGACCACCAAAGGAACATTCCTGTGAAGTTTGGATGAAATTGGCTTAGTGGTTTATGAGGAGATGTCAGCTAAAGTAAAAGTTTACGGACGGACACCAGACGGACGCCGGACAAAAAGCGATCACGAAAGCTCACCCTGTCACTTTGTGACAGGTGAGCTTAAAAAGTGTGTACAATCAAACTTACAAAGGAAATTTTTATTTTGATATCTGGTAAGAAAAAGTAAGCATAAGAGTGAAAACTATACCTAAAACAATAGACTGTAGATAAACCGGTTCGTACACTGTTGATAAAAGCGCACCCTGTAGACCTAACACATTCCACTGACATATCTTGTCACTACACGACATTACCCGGAGTCGCCCCCCTTGTTGTATACCATCGTAAGTCTGAGTGACAAATTCTGGTTCCACTGGAATGGTTCCCTCTCCTAATAAAAAGTACAAAACGTCAAACAGTTCAGTGGAGAAGATGTGGTAATGATAAACGGAAATAATAATTTTGATCAGACATAATTTTTACTTTTATTTCTCTTCTCATTATGGACTGAATATTCCCATTTGGAACCTCAGTCACCAATATTTAGTTTTCTTTTTATAAAGACAATAATTGAAAGTCAACCAGAAATGTGGTGGATGTTACTGATGATAATTCTGATTTGCCAGTATTGTGCTGAGCATCGAAACATCACAGTTGTAGAATCATATGCAAAAATGATGAATTTCAAAATATATAAACTATTTTTGTATTGTCTCAGACACCTGAAGGTGATAAAGTTGCAAATAATGTTACTTATGTGATGTCCTTAGGGACAAGTTTATACCGCAGTGAAATTCAGCAATTATTGTTCTTAGAAAAATTCCTTAAATCTTATCATTTGGTAAAGTAAGTGTGTCCATGCCAAATCCCCTCCCCAAAGGCCCCAGCCCTATCTGAATTTATTATATGCTTAAAAATAAAATATTGAGAAATATTAATGAAATAAATAAATATTTTCTTTTTGTTTAAATTTTCACAAAAAAAAATAATTTTCACTGCAGTGAAATGTATTTTCCACATTTTCACTGGTAACTTGCCTGACTACTTTCTTTTAAATTCAGCTGATACATAAAATGAAGGGGTATGTTTTTCGAATCATAAGGTCAAAAAGAGAGTGTATAATAAACAGAAAATTCAACTTTTTCAATAAGTTTATTTTCATCTTGTGGTATGAAAATCATCATATTTTATACCATTCAATGACATGAAATCCAGTATATTTACAAGAAACTTGAATATCCTCTCTATATATTTACAACTTTTCAGCCTGTATTATAAAACGGACAAGTGACAGGGATATATATGACCTAATAAATTTCGACAACCGTGCTTTATTATAATTGGCGTACACTTTTTATTTTAAGAAGCATGCATTATCTGAGATATTGAACTATGTTTTATACCCAATAAATCCTATAACTGATGTATAACAGTAAAGGAAAATTAAATGTGCACGCCTCCAGATGAGCCAAAATATTTCAAAAAAAATAAATATTGAGAAAAATGTACTTAAATTTTAAGTAAGGTAAAAACATTCAAGATCCAAGTTATATGTTCATGTTATGTGTGGTTTAAGACGGATTTTGCAGTATTTTATTAAAATATTTCTACTGCGTTACTAACCAATCAGGGCTATTTTTGCATATGTTTACAAGCTTTTGGTTATTTTCTTGGATTGTAAGAGCTGATTTCAATATGCAAATTACTTAATTTGTTCATCTCACAATATTTTACTTTTAAATACATTTCCAAAATTTTCATGAAAATAACCATGAATCAGGAGGCTTGCTACTTTAAAGAAAAATCACCACATCATGTGTCGAAAAAAAGGGATAGCATTACCATTTTCCTGTTTTGCTCTGAGTAGACCTTGAGTTTTTAAATTTGAGAAGACTGGACGATGTTCACTTCCTGAGCAACAAGTTCCAGCTGCCCCTCTGTCACTGTGTCGATAGAAATAATACACTTTTATTATCTTATTACCTTACATTTACCAGTATTTAAACAATAATTTTTTATTATAATCGACCCACATTCAAACATGTCTAAAACTACAATGTATCATTAAAACCATCAGCAAAGTTTGATAAAGAACAAATAAAAAACCAATAATAAATTCCATTAAAGTGGACCTGGTGACCGTATTTGTGACGCATAATGACCTATGTACAAAACTTGTTACTTTTGATAAGATAAATTTTTCGACAGATTTTTCTGAACTGAGAATTCTTTAAAGTTTAACAAAATCTAAATTATAAAAACTGACTGCAGGCCAATCCTGATAGCTCACATATGCTTGGCTGAAGTTGTTAATCTTTCAAAAGGAGACACGTTATAAATTAAAAAAGAAAAGAGTAAAGCAACCAACTCTACAAACCTGTGGGTAAACAAAGCCCCATCACCACAGGGGGCTGTAGATATATAAAGATGAAAGCTAATGCCCTCTTTGAACCTCCATTTTCTCTGTCTGCTCTTTTCAATGATAGGTAAATCTTTTGTTCGAAGTAGATAGTATAAAAATCTGGAACCGAGATAATATTATATACTTTGTGTGATAAATATTTAACTTCCTCAATACACAAAATATGAAAGATATGTATAATCTATAGAAGATATCAGTTTACAAAACATAAAATTAGTTTCCCTATAGCCTACTTGTGTTTTACTGAATATCACTTAGGACAAATAGATCAAAACCAACAAATTTAGATATCAATGCATGTTTCGCTTTATTAGCTTCGTCAGTTGATACATAAAGAAAATGATGTAAACTTACAAAACAGACGTCTATGTTAAGAGACGTCACATTTAGCGCGTTAAAGACGCTAAATAATATTACAATAAGATAAAACGTCTATTACTGTTCTATACAATAAAACGTGTGCATATGTATGTATAAACGTAATTATTTTGCATAGCATATGAATATCACTTTCATAATTACCTTTTAAATCCCCTCCTAGCTAAAACTTCAGCGTGTGAGTCGTTGAGCACCATCCCATCATCTGTTATATGACTTCCTTTCACACATCTGTTACCTAAAATAGTGCAGCTATAGTGTAAGTTAAAGTTTAAAGTGTAAAGTTTCTTGCTCAAGGAGACAATGGCTTGCCCCTGATTGGGTTTTAAACCTATGCAGCCAGCAATCTTTAGATTTTAAGCCTGGCACTTAAACCATTTGGCCATGCCCACACCTCTATACTGTTAAAGATTCATCTTGATATCCCTTAAGTCGACAATGGACAGTTCAAAACAAGAGCTGTCAGAAGGACAGCGCGCTCGACTTTTTTAGTGCTTGCCTATAAAACAAAACTTTGACAGTTAAGGGCACACAAGACTTTAACTAGGAATTTCTAAGTACAAATCAAGAAACATTTTCACAGAGTTATCTTCTCTTGCTTACAGATAGGTCTCATGATGGCACATAAGAACTCCAACTTCCAAAGTAATATCTCAAATGGTTAGGTCAACAAGTGGACAAGAATGAAAATTTTAACTGAGTTTCTAAGTCAAAAAGGGCCATAATTCAAATAAAATCCTTAACAGAATTACCTTCTCCTGCCCATGTTTGGGACCATGATGGTAAACAAGTATTCCAACTTTCAATTTAATATCTCAACCAGTTCAGTCAAAAAGTTGACTGGTACAAAAAACTTAACCAAGATTCTAAGTCGATAAAAGGCCTTAATTTTTAAAACAAATCCCTGACAGAGTTACCTTCTCTTGCGTACAGATGGGGGTAATGATGTGAAATAGCATTAAAAGTTTCAAAGCAATATCTCAAAGGGTTAAGGCAATAAGTGGATTTTACCCATATTCAATGTATTTTCTAAGTCAAAAAGGGGCATAATTCTGTCAAAAACCTTGACAGAGTTATGTCCTCTTGTCTGTTGATGAAGGTCGTGATGGTAAACAAGTATGGTCAGTTTCAAAGCAATACCTCCAATGGTTTTGAAATAAAGTGAGGTGGTACAAAAAACTTAACCAAGCTCAATACACTTTCTAAGTCAAAAAAGGGCCATAATTCTGTCAAAAACCTTGACAGAGTTATGTACTCTTGTCTGTAGATGGAGGTTATGATGGTGAACAAGTATGGTAAGTTTCAAAGCCATACTTGTAATACTTCTGAAATAAAGTGGGGTGGTACGAAAAACTTAACCAAGGTGTGACGCCAACGCTAACGCTAACGCCGACGCCGGGGCGAGTAGGATAGCTCCCCTTTTCATAGAAAAGTCGAGCTAAAAATGGAAGCTGGACAAGTTCATTAAGATGTTCAGCAGGTTACAAGGGGTGTTCAGGAAATAATGAAAATACCTTATTATCTCCCATATTAACTGTTGTATTCAGTTTATTTTATTACAATCCTTCAATATACTCTCCTCCTTTCTCTACACAAAGTTGCAGTCTTCTGCACCATTTTTTTCCCAAATGCTTCTCAGAAGTCTTCTTTAGATATACCCCGTAACAGGTCTTGTTCAAGCATATATTTGTTTCCAGCTAAAAGTTCTCTTTTAGTTAAGAAAATAACCTGAAGTCGCATGGTGCTAGATCATGACTATAGGGGGAATGTAGGAGAGTAACATTCCAATACTCTGACAGATACTGAGTTACAGCCCCTGTTTTATGGGCACTATTTTCATTATATACTGAACATCCCTTGTAAGGATTAAATTTATGCAAGGTTATCATATTCCTATATGAGTTAAGGCTTTTTTAACAAACAAACTTTAATGCACACCAGGTCATTGTTGATATCATAATATACTAAAGCTGCAAGTATTTTCTATCAGCATGTGCAATGGAAGCATAAACTTTATTAATATAGACTAATACTTCATAACATTTGTCTTCAAAACAAAATACAGTATCATTCTAGCAAACCATTTTTAATCCTGTCCTTCTTTTCAAACATACCAGATCATTTTAAATGTTTTATATAATTTCTTTCTGTTTGTTTATCTAGATTTTACACAAATTTTAACACATTTTTGGTCATTTTTCTCAAGTTGTTCCACACAAGTTATCATGGATAACTAACCAGTAATAATAATTTCTCCATAAGTGACTGACCCACATAATTTGTGAATGGCAGTGAGAGACAAATGACCAATAAATGACCACTAGACTTATTGCCGGAGACCAATTACTGTAACACAGAAATTTTGCCTTGCCTGAGGCGACCCTTGGACTACATATCTGGTGTTTTCCCTATTAAGCTTAGCAGTCAATAATACGTAAATTCTGTACAATAATCATATTGCATGATTCCAACATAGGCTACCTGAAAAAAAATTGAAATATATATTTACAAGCTTCACAATTACCTGAGCCAACACTGACCACCCTGTATACACCAGTCTCTCTATCGAACATTACTATGGCAGATGTTACTTTCCTACCAACAAGAGATTCAGGTGTTTGTAGCAACAGTTCATCCACTTTACGTCCTGCAGCCATAGCTACTTTATCGTAATGATTAACAGCGACTGGCATGACACTGTTTGTGGTATTTGACTGAAAACAAAATGTAAAACATAAATCATGTATTAACCCATTACTTCATATACACGCCTTTTAACGCCTTTATAACCCCCCCCCATTTTGTTGTCTCAAATGATGAAAAAATGCGTTATTTAGGCCCCAAACACTTGTTTTTGTTTGAGAAATGTTGTTAAAAAAAGTGACCTCTTTTTCGGCGCGGCCGCCCAACCAAAAGATACATCAGGGTGTTGCCAGAAGAGGGATGTGCCCCCTTCTGTTTGGGGGGGTTTGAAGGGGGGCGGAGTCCCCCTCATCGCCAAGAAAATTTTGGACTTGTGAGAGGCTGTAAATGACCCCAGATTGATCATAAGGTAATGTGTAACCAACGCTGAAAAGCATTTGACTCTATCTCAATCCATTGAGAAGTTGCAGCACTTTGAAATCAATTTTGATGGAAAAAATCAACGCAAAATAGTGATTTTTGGCAATTTTGAGATGTCCCCTCGTTGCCATGGTAACAGAAAATTTAAGCCTGAGCATGTTGTTGCAAGGGCAATGGTCCAGTCAACATTTGTGCCAAGTTTGATTAGTGTTGAAGCAGTTTTTATAGTATTATAGCAATTTGAACTTGTAACGGGAGACTTTTCAATGAAAACAGCCATTTTTCACAAAATGCTCATGAAGTAATGGGTTAATGAAAAAAATAAAAAAATCTACAAAACAACAATTTTTCTTCAAATTTATATGACAGGCCATGTATAAACATGAAAAAACGCGATTTAGGGTAATTTCAAGTATTTTCATCATTTTCTGTTAACCCATTACTTCATATACACGCCTTTTAACGCCTTTATAACCCCCCCCCCACATTTTGTTGTCTCAAATGATGAAAAAATGCGTTATTTAGGCCCCAAACACTTGTTTTTGTTTGAGAAATGTTGTTAAAAAAAGTGACCTCTTTTCGGCGCGGCCCCCCAACCAAAAGATACATCAGGGGGTTGCCAGAGGGGGGTTTGAAGGGGGGCGGAGTCCCCCTCATCGCCAAGAAAATTTTGGACTTGTGAGAGGCTGTAAATGACCCCAGATTGATCATAAGGTAACGTGTAACCAACGCTGAAAAGCATTTGACTCTATCTCAATCCATTGAGAAGTTGCAGCACTTTGAAATCAATTTTGATGGAAAAAATCAACGCAAAATAGTGATTTTTGGCAATTTTGAGATGTCCCCTCGTTGCCATGGTAACAGAAAATTTAAGCCTGAGCATGTTGTTGCAAGGGCAATGGTCCAGGCAACATTTGTGCCAAGTTTGATTAGTGTTGAAGCCGTTTTTATAGTATTATAGCAATTTGAACTTGTAACGGGAGACTTTTCAATGAAAACAGCCATTTTTCACAAAATGCTCATGAAGTAATGGGTTAAGACATTTAAAGCCCAATTAACCTCATAAATTGGTACATTTTTCTTCCTTAGAAAAAAGCAAACATTGTGTTTAGTAAAGATTCTTTCTAGTTTCCCTGAGCTAAAGTTTACAAAGATTGTGCAAGGTTATCTTTCTGTTAGGTTTAAGACACATTGATACTTTTGAGATCATTTGGGAATTCCCAGCTTTACCGGTAGAGGAAGATGTTAGGTGCACCTTTGTACATTAATCCAGGCAAAAAGCAGACACCGGAGTTGAACAAAATAATTCTGAAAGCTAGCTGGACAGCTCCTCATATTGAAATATCCAAAGTCCCTAGCAGGATTCAAACCCACAGTGGTGAAGGGTCCTTGGTTCAAATTCATCAATTTTAGTAACTGGGCCACTGATGCTCATGTCTTCAGGCAGCAGCAAAGTCACTGTGGAAGATAACTACTATTGTCCACAGTAAATAATTAAAATATTTCATGAATTCTAAACACTACAATTACAGTATGTTACCTGTGTGGTGACAGCTTTTGGCATTAAGTACTGTCCTCTCTCGGCTAGTGCTTTCAGTACGGCCTCGGCAGCTTGTACATTGCCTTCCTTCTTACTGGCTGCACTCACTACAGGGAAAGTCTCCTCCCCAAGTACAGCATATACATTAAATCTGATTGAAATAAAAAAAGTAAGCATTATGATTGAACTATTACTTCATTTGTTTGTTTTTCTATGATTTAAACTGATTTTTTAATTCTGATTTTGCACACGTTTTGGGACATACCTCAGCAATCTAACCACCTAACCAGCTTTCATGGTTCAATACATTTTCTTTTTCTTTCCTTATTCAGTTTATTTCACAATTGACTGATTTATTTCAAAGTTATTTCAAAATGTATCTTTTTTCTTTTCTTTTCTTTTTTGGGGGGGGGGGGGGTGTGCATTGTTTTTATATCACAGTCATTTGGCGACTTTTCAGCTTTACTGTAGCTTCCTCACATGAAAGAATCCAAAGCCACTATCAGGTTTCGAACCCACAGCGGTGCGGGGCAAGTGGTTTAAAGTCAATAACCTTAACCACTTGGCCACAATCGCCAATCTACATATGAATCATTAAATAAACAAATGTTAGGTGTGATATATTTGAAGAATATACAGATATACTTACACAGGTTTATGTGGCGGTCCAGTTTGACTGGATTCAAACCTCAACTTAATACTGGATTTCTGGGCATATTCATTCAGAACACTAACAGGGTTTTTTCCTGGAATGCCAAGTGTTGATTTGGTCTTGACTTTACCTACAGGTATCGCAGATGACTGGAAAATAAATCATACATTGCAACTGAAAACTGAAATAGCTACATGTATATCATAACTTATAAAGTTGTATTGACAGGCTTCAGTATAAACTTTGTAAGCTTATTCATAAGACACAAGACATAAGACTTAATATTGAAATACAATGTATTGATGAAATAAAATGTGTATTTCCATTTTCTGTATTTTCACTGTAAAAAAAAATTTTTTCACTGCAGTGAAACATATTTTCTGTATTTTCACTGGTGTCACATCATTATTTACATATCTGATTACATCATTATTTACCTCTCTGATTACATCATTATTTATCTCTCTGATTACATCATTACTTACCCCTCTGATTACATCATAACTTACCTTAGTATCTGGGAACAATGCTTGAAGTGCACCTTCCTTCTTTAACTTACTAAGGGCAACACATGCTGCAAGTTTCTTTGATTCCTTGGCACTTCCACCTTTCACACTTGGATACACCTGGCTACCTAGCTTTACTGCCATTGTAAATCTAAAAATACACAACAGAATTCCATTACTAAAGCTTAACCTGCTAGCAGCAACAGATTTTTCACATAAAATAATTCTGTGTGATTGGTAAGGCAGTAAGAGCCAATTGATTTAAACTTTGAGTAAATGACATATACCACTGGCCATGGAGGCTGTCATATGTGTTTAAACTTTACTAAAATGAAGGTATAGTTAAACTGAATAATACATTAATATATTACGGTACAACCTCTGCATTGCAACACCCTTTGGGAGACAAAGAATATGGTTGTTGCTCAGATGGAAGTTCTAAGGAAGTTTATTTTTTGTGAAGTATTTAAAACTGAGGCTATTACTCTGCAAATGGCCACTTTGCCGAGGTTGAACTGTATTTAATATAAAATAGAACCATTATACAAGGGCCTCTATACAGAGGTTGAACTGTATTTGATGAAATGTAAAATAGAACCATTATTGCTCTACAAATGGTCTCTCTACAGAGGTTGAACTGTATTGGATGAAATGTAAAATAGAACCGTTATTGCTCTACAAATGGCCTCTCTTAGACTCTACAGAGGTTGAACTATATATGATAAAATACGAAATAGAACTGTTAAAATTGTTCTACAAAGGGCCTCTCTTTAAAGGTTGAAATGTATATTTGATAAAGTACAAAATAGAACCTATCACTAACATGGGCATGTGAGGTGGTCCATCTTGTGAGATAAGATCAAAACAGACTTCCTGCTTAGCAAACTGTCCATACTCCATGAGGGCAGAAACGGGATCCTTGTATGGTATGGGGTTGGAGATGACCTCCTCTGAACTTTCTACTGGCAGAGTCTCTGCAACCTCACTACATCCCGATGAACCAGCACCCTTTGTTATATATCAATAATAATGATATCATTAAATAAATTATCTCAACGACAAGTGGAAATTTTCACATATAAATCTACATTTATGACAGTCTGTGGCGGCGTGCCCATGGGGATATCGTGTCAGAAAGTGGTATTTTGACTTCCATACAAAAAACTATATCACTATAATTTTACTAATTGCCAAAACATAAAAGAAGCAGATCACTCAGCTATGTTGTAAATGAGTATCTTGTTGTAAAAACTTTAACAGGACACCAAAAAAAATTTAAAAAATGTGAAATGAAAATAATAATCATTTTAAGGCTTTATGGGCCTTTTAAGGGTTAAAAATATAATAGGCAACATACAGATGCATTTTGTACACTAAGTAGCTGAAGAGCTCTTTCAGCCGCTTTTATCCTGGCTTCATGTTTAGAATTTCCCTTTTCATTACATATTTCTGTCTCGCCAAGCCGGGCCACAGCAACAAATCTAAAATAATTGATTACATTTAAACAATATTAGTATAAAATAAGCATGTGACAAATGTTCTTTTATCAAAGAACACTGATAAATATGAAAAGTCACATAGTGGAATAATATATAATAGAATTGAGACCTGTGACAGTGTCACCAGCATCAATGATGAATACAACAGTCTTCACGAAAACTTTTAAAAAGCACAGGACATTCGGGCCAGTAAAATATCAAATCTTACTGGACCTGGTGATTTTTAGCCGGACCAAATACATAGATAGGTAATACATTGATGGGAACAGGAAAACACTTTATCATGCTTCCCTTGATAATTTTGAAAGAAGCATAATACGTCTTGTATTCTAGGCCATATGTTGACAGCTTAGAAAAATCTTTAAGGACCAAATGTTTAGGCAAAATTGACTAGAATTGAACATGAACAACGCAATTTGCTTCAAACAAATCACTTTCACACAAAATATTTACTTAACTCAATAATTACAAAATCATAGCTAAATAATTACCATAATAAACAATGGTTTAATTTCCGTAACTGTACGGTGTGGTACGGAAAATATCCAAGAAAAAAAATGGCAGCCTCCATTACTTAATACAATTTAGACATCTCTCGCAGTGTTTTGAACATTTAGGACAGAATTGATGGGTTTCATTTGCAAAAAAGGCAAAAAGATCAATCTTTTAGAGAACCCTGCTTCATTATTTTGATGAATTTTTCTTATAATATTTTTTCATGACAAAAAATCTACTGGTCCGTCGGACCACCAACCTTGCCATAATCACTGGACCGATGCTAAATTTAGTGGCCTCGGACTGGCGTGAATTTCGAAGACTGATACAAATTAAACAGAAATAATCATGTACAAAGTGTATACATACACAGGTTTATGTGGTGGACCACTCATAGAAACTATATCCACCTTGGGAGGCTGTCGATGCTGTACCCCATACTCCTCAAATGCACTGATTGCATTCTTGTTCAAATTTTTTCTACCAGCCATGTTCATGTCTGTGGAAATATAAAAAGTAAAAAATCAATTTATTGCAGAGACATAGATAACATCTATGTCTCTGCTTATAGCTTGTATGGTAAAATTGCATTATTAAGGGCCAATATGGAGCCAAAATTTGGCCCCGATTCCACTTACCAAAGTTCATATACTTTAAAACCTTAGGTCAATATTGGCAGACATAAGGCTATTTTTATCAGTGTAAAAGTTACCGGTTTCATATATATCTCTGTATAAATTGTATGTAAAATTGCTGACAGGTGGTATGTATAGCAGTTAACTTTGGTGTCAAAGGATATGTTAATCGGTTGAAGCTTATACTGATACAAAGCTAAGATCACAAAGCTTTTCATTGGTGTAAAAATTTTGAAATTCTGACAATCAATTACAATAAATTGGCAGTTCCTAAAGACTTAGATTTTAATATTTATGTTTGGATATTTTATTTTACCAATCAGTCAGATAGTGTTTACAATTAGATTTACCTCATATGAAATATATAGATCAAGTAATAAATAGAATTCTTTCTAATAAAAAAATATTTAATTGGTATACTTTTTTAAATGTTTGTTTGTTTGATAAGGTTTTATGTCATTACGACACAGTATAGGTCATTTGGCGACGTTCCAGCTTTACTGGTGGAGGAAGACCTCAGGTGCCCTTCCTGCATTATTTCAGTCACAAACGGGCACCTGAGTAGAACCACCGACGTTTCATAAGCTAGCTGGATAGCTTCTTCACTTGAAAGAATCCAAAGTCACTGTCGGGATTCAAACCCACAGCGGTGAGGGGCAACAGGATTTGAAGTGTTTTTTTTTTAAATGTGATATGAACTTCTCAAATAAAAAAGCATACCATATAATAATTATTGAAATTGTACTTACTTGCTGTTTTTGATTAGTCCAACACTTTTATATTGCAGCATTTATATAAATCTACTTAGCCTTAAGAATTACTCCTCTTACATATTTGAGCTTGTTTTGTCTCTGTGTAGAGAATTGATTCTCATACAACCTGATTAATTAGCAACTGAAATACCCAGGGTGAGAGTGGTTTCGTCAAACTATCGGTTTTGCGAACTGATCTTATATCATAAAACAGGTAGTGGTTTCGGCGAACTTAATTTATATAGTACAAACCATATCTGTTGTATAATGGGCACGCCAATTATCATGGTTTATCACACTTTGTCATGCAATTAAAGACAAGATATTGAAAATTTAAACCTATTTTTTATTATTTTCTTTAGTATAATAATAATATTTACATAAAAGCATTACACAATAAAAAAAAACAACATCATAGAAATATATACACTTATATAAGTAAAACCTGAAAAATCGAATAATGATTTAAAATGTTTAACAAAATATTGATGATAAAAAAACTTCATATATATGACCCATGTCTTCTTTGCCTTTAATTACTATATAACATAAGATAGACAAAACCACTTTCGCAGCTCTTCATAAATTAAGTTCGCCAAACCACCATCATTCAAATACCAATACATTGTAGACTAATTATAGCGAGCTCGACGAGCTGGCCCGAAGGGCCTGCTCGCAAAGCGAGCTTTACGGTAACGCGAGTACCTGCTAAGTGATGGTTTTGAAAACTTTCGTCCAAAGTACCGAATTGGACACATCGCAACCTTTCGAATTTAAAGATAACGATAAAAACTGAGGAATTCTGACTGAAAACGGATGTGTAGACTGGTCACCCGCGCACGTCTATGGGAACCATAATTGGACAGGGAACCAGAATATCGGAAGCTGTGTATAAAAAATGAAAATCGAAGGCGCCATTTTGTTTGAAATCTGATAAATAAAAACAATTTTTTGTCGAATTTTGTTGTGAAAACTATCTAGAATGAAAGAAAATGGTCTAACTAAGAAAATGAATCCGAACACCAATATCTTTTATTCAGTCGTTAACGCTGTACAGACGTTTAAAGTATTGTTTACGTGACGTCACAATGTAGCGCCAAACAGCACATGCAAAACAAACAAATCAAGTACGCTATTTCAATGTCGCAAACGTATTAAGTTTTACATTTATTTCACTTTAAATATTCTTTATTTCGCTTGAAAAATTATAGAGTGAAATAAAATAAACAAAGTTTTATCAACGTTTTCAAAACTCGTTATTCATTTCACGACAGGGGCGGAGCCATATTTAACACAGTACGTGTGACGTCACACGCACTCGTTACTGCATTTGAAATAAAAATGAGCGATTATTTCATACTATTTCACGTAAAAAGTACATCGAGCTCGCTTTGAGGCTTTGCCTTTTTCATATTAATAATGATCTAAATTCTTTATCTTTTAACTACCTTGTATGATAGCCTAACATTGTATTGGCTTTTAAAATACCGCCGTTACCCTTCTTGTCATAACCATCGATTGATCGGGAGTATCATATCAGAGACATAGATAATGTATCTATGTCTCTGATTTTTATCCGAAAATTATGGTCGAGTTTTGAAACACTTACAATTCATGTGGTTTTTAAAATACAGGTAATAAAATCTCCATAATTCAGCAGATGTCAAGGAAATAATACTTTGTAGTCATCACAAAACATATGCGCTAAACAATCGTTAGATGATTCTATAATTTAATATGTAAATGTAATTCATACTTGCGGCTTTTTATTGACTGCAAATGGTGTAAGTCATAAAAGGGACATAATTACTGATTACTCGTAGAAGAATAAAAACGATTCGCTCCGATAATCACTCGCACCACTTGAGTGACAATTTCCGAAGAGCCTCTACTAATAAGATGCTTATAATAATTTGTTTCCCTAAATACGCAGTTTTCGTGTTCAATATTTGACATACATGTCGAGAAGCATTAATAATGTAATACAATTTCAATTCATTTTTAATGAAATATTTAGAAATAAAGTAAATATTTTCATTTTCTTTATTTCCTCTGCAAACATTTAATTATTTTTTACAGCAATAATGAAACATATATATCGTAATTTCACTTGTATCTAGCCGGACTATCTTCTTCTAAATTCAGCCAATACACAAAATTAAAAGGTCACAATCACATCATAATCAACTATATTGCGGCCAATATATTCTCTATAGCTTTATCAAACATTGTTATGAAATGTAGTTTGTTGGCTTCTTGTGCGCCGTGATGCCCCGATTATTGTGCGCAGTTATAAGCTCATATTTATAAATACAAGAATAAGTAATTTGGCAAAACTGACGTGCCAACTCTTGCTATGTATATCATATTGTTCCTTAGAAACATATATTCATTAAATTCTTTAGAAATGTCAGACACGTGTATAATAATGTTTTAATAATGGATTTAGAGCATGTAAGATATATAACTGCTGAAAAAAGTAGCGCTTAATGTGCAAAAATGTGTCGTAAAGGTAGCAAAATGTAAACAAAGTAGTTTTTGACTTCCATACAAAATACTTATTCATTACAATTATACCGATTGTCAATAAAACAAAAGATGCAAAGATAGTAAATCTACTAGTAAATGGTACATAAGTATTTTTGTGGAAACCGTAACAAGATACAAAACACTTAAAATGTTTGAGAAATGAAAATAATAGCATTTCTGATAGGGCGCAATGCGCCCTTAAAGAAACGAAGTCTATATTACATCAATTTTCATAACATTTATAGATCACACATATTATGTACATACCGTCATCACTTTCCGAGTCATCAGTCCAGGGGATACTTTTCTGCCACACTGTTTGTGTATGTTCAAGTACCGAGTGGAACACTTGGCACGTCCTAGACCCAGGTATGGCATAATCGGTAGAACAATCAGCCGTATTAAAATTACTTCTTCTAAAGTACTTATCCAACGGAAAAAGCGAAGATGGCGTTCTTGATGATACGTGTATTTCGCCTTTCATAAGACGGTTGTCAACGTGTCGTGGGATTATTCTGTTATCATCGACTGCGCTTGTAATATGTCCAGTTCCGAGTTGGCCTCTTTCATCTGCAACAGTTTGGTGGGTTAGCATATTAATCCCTGTCTCCAATCTTCGTCGTTTGGTAGAATCGTATCTTTCCTCGCCCATACCTTCGAATGCAGACAAACCAACATGTTCGAGTTGAAAAGGTTTACTAATATCTGGCGGCTCTTCTTCTCTTACCATACGTTTTCTGTCAGTAACATTTACAGAATATAAACTTAAGTCATTTGCTTTACAAGCAGCTTGCTTGTCCCTGCTAGAAAAACGATCGTGACGTAATTCTACACCTCTTGTCTCTCGCGATTTGTTCCGTGGTGTGCTATGTTTTGATTCAACATAATTATATTGTCGCGCGTTTCCCTTTTCGTGACATGAAGACTCGGTGTGGATTTTCCGTGACCTACTGCTCATTTCGCTCGATGCACTCCTTAGACTTTTGTGTCGTGATTTAATGTCGTGATTTTCATGAGAATCGTATTTATAACATTTAGCTGCTTCTGGTGTCCCTGTCCTTATTCCGCCACGCTTCTCTCTTAGTCGTTTTATTAATGCTTAAATAATTCCACATCTAAATCTCTCTGGATTTTGGATAATATTTTGTGCCAAATATATCTGTCAAGCAAAATGTTATTGTTGTTTATGAATTTTGTTTTTGTTATCTGATTTTACATAATACGATAAATGAAACGTGTTTACTTTTCGTTTAGTCAATTGAAATTACCCTTTATACCATGAAGGAAGTTTTATTTAAATCATATCACGTACTTGGATAACCCACTGCGCGATCTAATATCCCAGATTCTTTTTTTTTTCAGGGTCATAATCTTGCTCTAGAGGAGAAATATTGCTCATACACAAAATATCACAGTATCTCATTGCGTAGTACAATTAGTTGGACTAGTCGTAACTGTTCTTTCTAGTAATACTTTAAGGATAATATTTTCTTAATTTCGTTTTGTCAGAGACTTTTACTATTGTAATATGAAGCTACATGGTTTAATTGACACGTATCAATTTAAAAAAGCCCATTGATTTACAGTTAAAATGAAATCCGAATGAATATCAACAAATATAGATTTTGTACTTTCGGTTTCCTCAACAATTATAATACAATGAATAAGTACACAAAAACGTTCTGTTTTCTTTTTTAAACTGTAAATTTAGCTTGTAACCCTAGTACGAAATTTATAAACTTCAGCATTAATTTTACTTACCACTTGTTTACATCAGGGTATTTCAAATAGGACTTCTATTTCAAAGTTTTTACATATGCATAATGTTTATAATTGAGGTATTTTATTTACCTAGCAAAATTCAATAAGCCACGGTTTTACCGTGTATATCTATAGTATTCTAACACTATCGGATTAAGCGTGCATTATTCTACAACAATGCACTCGCCGTTCTTATTATCTCCCTCTGTATTTTCACATTGAGGGCGCCATTTTGTTTGAAAAATCTGATAAATAAAAACATTTTTTGTCGAATTTTGTTGTGAAAACTATCTAGAATGAAAGAAAATGGCCTAACTAAGAAAATGAATCCGAACACTAATATCTTTAATGCAGTCGTTAACGCTGTACAGATGCTATCGGCCTTCGTGATTATATTACTACGCATTTGAACTCAAACCGTGCATTATTCTACAACAATGCACTCAGAATTGATATCTATTTCCTAAATCTATTAACGCAGGAATGTGAAAATGACGCAACAATTGTGCAATTCTAAAACGAAAAGTAAATTTACCGTATATTAAATTAAAAGAAATGAATAAGCGCATTCGGTTTCTGAGACATATATTTTAAACAGCATCAAAACATTTCCATGAAAGTGTTTATTTTTCAAGATCATTCGTGAAAATGAAGACTTGAATGACTAACGTAAAATATGTATTTCGTCGAATAACGTTTACATTGTATTTTGCATTAATTATGGTTGTACCTGAGACATCTACCAAGCTACTCGTGTCATATTACACTTAATTAAAATAGCTGATAAAATGTGACCGATACCATATTTACAAGATAACGCCGAATTCGTGAATGATGCACTGAAGCAACATTGGTTACCTCATATAAAGAAGCCTGAATCATTCGTTATCTGCTTTCTTCCCGTATTATACGGCACTAGTAACTTGGCAAATGTCTAATGTATACCGAATATGAAGAAAATAAAGTTTACGATGCGTTATTGTACTAATTACTTTCGACGAAACAGAAACGTCCCCTTCAAAAACGAAAGTCAGCTCGTCATTCTCACGAATGATTTTTAAAGATGAACATATACCTGGAAATGATTGTCATGCTGGAACTGCTAACTTTTGTAAATGTCAGAGCAGAGGTACAGTTTGCAAATGGCCGTAGAAAGGATTTTATGATCAATCAGAACGAAAGGGAACTGCACAGTCGCCCGATTCAGTCCAACGCTCTTACAGGGCGGTTTCATTAGAATTCCGGTACGATGTAGTTTAGATATTATCGTTAACACCATGCAAACATTTATCAAAGAGCACCTACGGGGTTGTCCTACATTGCCATAGTAACTGTAAATAATGCAAAAGTGTAACTATACATGTATATGTGTACTTTATTTTTTTTATCTGCCGGATTATCAATATAATACATCAAAGTATAAGTGTTTAATATTGCATTCAGATAAGCATATAAATAGATTTAAGAAATGAAATTTTTGCGGATATTTATCGGACACCCTTTGTAATTTTATACTTTTTTTCAACATCTGGCAAGACAAAAAAGGTATATTTAAACAAATATCAAAATTTAATCACACATGCAGTTAAAACATAGACATCTAATAACCCCAATCATAACTTTTGTTTATCATCTTGAAAAACATGTTATTTCGAGGTTTAAAGAAGTTTTCAAGTTTAATTTTCAAGTCTTTTTTTAAAGGTGGATGAGGCATTCCTTTCTTTTTATGCTGGCATTTCGCGACGCCATCTCTCGATAGAACACAGTATTTTTGTCTTTTGGCATTATAAACAAAGTTGTTTTCAGTAAAAAACCGGTCTACTCCTAAAAAATCTTCTAACTTGTTTAATTCCTTTACAGGATTGGTAACAAAAGTTAAACTATCTAAAATTAGAAATTGCGACAAATTGAAATATTTTAACCAGATTTGCATGTGCCTTTGGTAATTTGAAACCACAATAAGTCGAGACGTTGGGTCTATGTCTTTATTTGGCCCAGCAGTTATCGCATCTTCAAAAGAGAAATTTCCAATCCTATACTCAGCCTGGTATTTCCACATAACATATTGCGACAGTGCTCTTGCAACAGGCTCTCTCACAATGACAATCAGTTTCATTGACGGGTCGAACGCTCGGACTCTCTCGGGAACGCTGGATGTGAAGAAATATTCGGTACATCTGGACACAGTGATTTGATGAGCATAACTGCAAGGCATCAAATTTTTATACCAGTCATATGACTTGTCATCGTAATAATGATTGAAATATCTCGTGTCAAACGGTCGTACTGTGCGCGCGACTATTGTCGGATGTTCGTTGATAAAACTCATCAAAGCTGTCGTCCCACCTTTTGTCATTCCAACTAAGAGTGCTTTTGGAAATCGTTTCTTCATGCACAGTATTTTACTTCTGTTTGGGCTCGATTGACTAGTTAATGAAGCAATTTTACTTACATTTGTCCAATTATAAGACTCAGTCTTACAGCTACATGTCTGATTTACAAGAAGACGGCGACGGTTGTCACCTCGCTGAAGGACCTTTTCCAAAGTTTTCTTATACTTAATGTTAACTGGTTTTGTGGTAACAGGGTTTGATTTGTACGAGGCATCAATGACTACCTTATCCGAATACATGTTAGTAACTGTTTTCAAAGTGTATAGAGCAAACAGGAGTATTATTAAACACAAGATTAAAGGTCGTGATGATCTTGTTATTTTTCGTCGGATGATTTCCATTGTCCACAGTTTTAGTCTGGGATGATTCTATCTTTTATACATTAGAATGTAAAGTTTATCAAGTACAAAATATTGCGTTTTTATAACCAATCTCACACAGTTGCCTTCTTTCTATGTTTGTAACTGGCGTGTATATATTTGAACTCACACGCTTGTCTACAATTAATTTGTTACTGATATGTTATGATCATCTCATGTAATTCCGTTCCTATAAATTTTTCCTAAAGAAGTTGTCGTCCTTTTACTTGTTTCTGACGTGTTAATAATTTTATTGAACTCAATATCCATACAGTTTATAAGATCACATGTTTTGTTTTTTCTTCACTTGTTTTTTCATATGATTTTACATATCAGTAGAATGAGATGTTCTAAATACGGTGTCAACCTGCCACTAAGTTATCCGTCAAAACAGACAAACCACTGATCATTTCACGATTTTGTTTCCGTTTTCCTTTGAGTTTAAAGCAGAAAATATGATATCCCAGACACCATGGGAACACAATATATCTATTTAGCATGCTCCTTGCACTTTTGCTCTCTCTTGTCTGTGGTTCTGTTTTTTCCCGGTCAAAATGGACTTTTCTGAAAATAAAGAAAAAGTTGAAGTTGTTACATTAAAGACACAGCAATCTTCAGCTCTTCATGCTGACTTACGTATGTCATGAAATTATGCTACATTATCAAGTTATTCAAAATTAATATCTGCTATTCAATAATAAAGGTAAGAATTAATTAAACAATTAAAAATCACTAAAAATAACAGATCAACAAATTGCCTAATACCAAATGATTATTATAGAAATAATAGCAGGAAATAAAGATTTTCAGTGGCCGATTTAGTATTCTTTAAGAGCAATGTTTTACAGTCTGTTTCACGTTTTCTTTAATTTTTCACATTTTCTGATGATTTAAATTTAAACTTATATTACTGGTTTATGGTATTTAACAATATCATTTTTTTGCAATAATTACAGGCTTTATCATTTTCAACATGCTGTCTACCCTATTACTGAGGAAAAAAAACCATTAATTCTTTATTATTTATTTTTACACGATATTGATAATTTCTGTTAAAAACAGAAATAATAATAATAAAAAAAAATGCATGTACTTTTACGTTTCAAGATTTTGTTCTGCTGATATGTATAAATTCATGTACAAAGTATAAAAGAAAATAAATTTAAAAAAAAAAAAATCAAATCACAAACCTTTTTTATTTCCACATTAAAACGGAATGATCCACATATTAATATTGTGAATGATAATGAAAAAGATAACAAATTTTCACATAAACTGTTAGTACATCTCTAAAGCAGATTAAAACATTTTCATTCGGTGTAAGTACCTGATAGTTAGTTATGGCTTAATTAGATCATTCGGTGATGTAATTTTAAGCTACTTTACTAGCTAAATCTGGGCTTTATCAAATGATGTCCGAAACCACGATCTATTAGTACATGTTTGTTGTTAGTTATTTCATTGCAAAATACACAACGTATGAATGCTGCAAAGGGAGAGAGGCGCGGTCGCAAGGAATTAGCAAATAACCGAAATTAAAGTTCGTTTTTTTATTAAAAAATATCTGAAAATAATAAAGACATAGAAATGTTTAATTTGTAACATATAACTATCAGAGTAAATTTATATCCAAAACATATTTGTACCTGAACTATCTTAAAACAGTCACGTCAAATAAATTGGAAAGAAAAGAATGAAGTATTTTCATTTCTTTATCATGTCAAAATCATATGACCATTGTGTTACTACGAATATATTGATCAACACTCGTATAATAATAATAATAATAATAATAATAATAATAATAATAATAATAATATAATAATAATAATAATAATGATGATGATGATGATATAAAGACATGAGATAGTGACGCTTATTATATACTTATAAATAAAATGTTGAAGAAAATGGATGAAATAAAATGCTTATTTTCATTTTTCGTCGAAATTTATTTTTCACAGTGCTCAGTGAAACAAATTTTCCGTCTTTCACTGGACAAATTAAATTTGCCTGTTGCTTTGTTCAACAACAGAGCGCTTTGAAAGCTGATATAAATCTTCATCACCGAACAATTATTTCGCTATGTTTTAATATTCTGACAATACTTCCAAATATATGCTTGAAATTGTGCAAAAACGCCACAATTTTGCATCTTTCGTAGTGCATTTTGAAAAAACCCTGCAAGGTTCTACAAATATTAAAGGGAGACACAGGCAAAATTTCATTTCTTCGTTAAAAATTTTTCATTAATTATTCTGTAAATGTCCTCAAAATAAATCCACCAAGCAGTCACAGGAGCAAAAATTGTCTTCTTATAATGAATAAAATGTCGGTTTCCTAACTTGACCCGTGTGGGTCAGGTTAGAGCGTAGTTGTCACAGTGAACTCTGTAAACGTTAATGAACATGTAGAATGAATTGTTTACACTTGTTTTAATCATACAATATCCACAATATCTGTTATTGTAACTTCCAGGGTTTGTTCAAGTAACATAACTTGTTTTTAAACTACTCGGCGATTCTGTCGGCGTCTAAATTTCGTTCAACATATATAGATATTTTTATGCTTCAAACCCAAAATATATAGAATTTATACAGAAATTCATGCTGGGATTTTAAGAAAATGTTGTTTTAGCTTGATTTGAGTACATAAGATCATTTTAATATTTTTGTCATTGATTTGCCTGAGTATCCCTTTAAATCAATGTAAGATCATGCCAGAGGTGTCAGTTGGTTATTCGCGCGAATCCTCTACTACCTACCAGAAGGTAGCTGGTAATTCGAACTGTTGGGGATTCGCACGAATAAACAAACTAGGTTCCCACCTTTATTTTGTGTTTAAAATGCATAGTAGGTAGTTGAATATTCGAATATACTATCAAATTGACGCTCATCGCTTATGAGCACAGATTTCATTCAGTGAGGAATCACAATTTCCTTTGTTTTTCTTTGTTGTCGATTTAACAACGGAAAAGAATGAAACTATTCAACATAAATAATTATAATGTTACGTGAAAAAAGCTTTTAAATAATTCGCAAATCTGTGAGACATTTTTCATTGGTTTTCTGCTCCTCGTTCACGATTTTATTATTTTTACATTGGGGTTATTCGTATGGCAGCAAGAGAACGCAAACTTGAGTTTATAGAAGCCGCTATGGTTGAGTTTGAAAAGTTTATATATGCTTATATGTTAAATAAAATTCACAATATATTGTTTCCATTTCTGATCAATCGCTTAAGGTCTAGTCTGGACAGAAAATGGCCATATATTTGATTACATTTTAGTTTCATCTTCGCAAAAATATGTAAAGTAATCTGAACAGATTAAAGCTTCATGAATAAAAGTATTTAAGAATATAAACTTTAGATAAAATTAAAGTCAAACCTATGACCAATGCCGCACAACATGTCATATGAAGACAGGTGTTCTTTATCAAAAGGATTCTCTATTCTGTTTAAGCATTGAAGTGTTGTTTAAGGGTGGCATTTATTTTGTAGAGTGGTCTTTAGTTTGGGTGGTCTGACTGTAAATACTGAATGCTGAAAAAAATACTTATTACATGCTTGTACTATATGGGAGAAAAAATGTTAATTATAGAAAAAACTTTAAATAAGATTTACTAAGATTTTAAATAAAAATAAAACTATTTTGCATGTCTAACGAAGTAAGGATTTTTTTCATAATTATTTTGACATTTATTTGGTAATTAAAAGTATTGTTTGTAATATGTAAATTACTTTCTTTGTACACTTGAATATATTTTACCTTTAATTTACATTACATTTTTAAAATGTTCATGAAAATTAGCATAAGCCTGGAGGTATGCTGCTCAAACTTTTTATTTTCACCACAAACATATTTTTAACTAGTGAAACCTTATTCAATAAACTTGTCTCAAACCATCAGTTATCATTAGCATTCAGCTTACTTCTTGTCAATCTTAGAACTTCGCTTCTATTTAAAGAAACATGGCTTTTTCTGGTATGTTTTCTTTTATTGCTAGTCAACAGCCTTACTGATTTACCTTTTACTGTTCGTTTATGTAAAGTCCTTTATCATAATCCCTCGAGCAATGATACCTATGTTAGTCATTGCCACATAATTTACACCTTACCGCAATATTAAAAATTTAGGTGTGAAAATTGAATTGAATAACTCCTTTTCTTGGTCATTAATGTGATAATAAGCACTTCTAAATTAGTTATAAATCAGAGCGTGCGCTGTGGTGTAGTGGTTACACTGTCTGACTACAAATCTTAGGAGTTGCGAGTTCGATCCCCCGCTACTCTACTAATACAACTGACTATTTACACACTGACCGGAGACACAGGAGACTAGTCACACACTGACCGGACACAGAGAAGACTACTCACACACTGACCGGACACACAGGAGACTAGTCACACACTGACTGGACACACAGGACACTAGTCACACACTGACCGGACACACAGGAGCCTAGTCACACACTGACCGCACACAGAGAAGACTACTAACACACTGACCGGACACACGGAAGACTACTCACACACTGACCGGACACACAGAAGACTAGTCACACACTGACCGGACACAGAGTAGACTACTAACACAATGACCGGACACACAGTAGACTACTCACACACTGACCGGACACACACAAAAGACTACTCACACACTGACGCGGTACACACAAGAAGACTAGTCACATACACTGACCGGACACACAAAGACTAGTCACACACTGACCGGACACACAGAAGACTACTCACACACTGACCGGACACACAGGAGACTACTCACACACTGACCGGACACACAGAAGACTACTCACACACTGACCGGACACACAGGAGACTAGTCACACACTGACCGGACACACAGGAGACTACTCACA